GAGAGAGAGAGAGAGAGAGAGAGAGAGAAAGGCCACCGAAATAACTGCCAATCCCTGGACTCGCTTGGTTTCCTTCCATAGCTACCTCCACAGAAAAATTGTTTATTTACCCATAAGCAAAGTACCCTTGCTTCACGCAAACAAAAAAAAGGAAAGTGCCCTTGCAGTATTCACGTACCTAAGGTTGGTTTCCATTTGGTAGAATACTCAAAAATAGATTAATCAACTTTATAGTTAAATCACCTGTTGACGTCCTGGATTTTGAAGGTGATTTTGCAGACGTGGAAGGGAGATGATACCAACATGAGCATTGCCGAAGAGTTGAACCGGGAGTAAATCACATAGAACCACCATAATAGGTAGCACTGATGCTTCTTAACGTTCTCACCCGTTTGTTGGGCTGAGTTAGGATGGTCTGAATTTCTTGCCAAACACAAATAGTTGTACTACTAATTCACACGGCTTGCACAAGGCATCGTCGTCTCATCGTTTCTCAGGTTGCTACTCCCAGCTTCTTCCCGATGAACTTGGACAGGTTGGTGGGGCCATGCAGGTTTGCTGCTCGCATCTTCTTCTTGCAGCTGCATCTCCCTCCTCCTTATTTTTCTGCTTCCGGCCTCTGGCTCCGGTAGATCCTCCGGTGCCTTCGACGCTCTCCAGCGATTTGAATGACCGCGACTTGCCAGCATAGAACCTTGACGCCCCTCTCCTGCAAGTTGACAAATCCTTAGCATTCCATCCAAGATCATGCAGTTGGGCCATAAGGCTGGACATATCATACAGGTGTGGTGCTGGATGCCCCCCACGATCATTGTCGGAGCCCGGCACCCCCTCAGCTGTAACTGTATTTACCAGCCACAATGATTCAGCGGAAGAACAATCGGCGCCCAAGCCTGAGAAGATAGGAAAGGAGCACATACCATCCATGATCATCCTACCGTGTTGTGTTGTCGAGTACACATCCTACATTCTTTGTTTCCTTCTGTTGGATTAATTATGCATCTCTAGGATACCATTAGCAGGAACTGATTGCATCTAAATCACCTAAAAAGCATGAACAGAGAAAGTTTAGGGAATCTTTACATGTCACGGCAGTGGACATGATCGCCTGCTCGATGCAGGCGTGATGCAGGGGTGATGTAGTCGAGGTAGCAGTCCTCCTCAACGTCCTGATGCCCTCAGGACGCCACCGGCACTGCCCGGGGACAGCAGCGGTGGCTGGAGTAGGTCTTCCCGTCGCTGCAGCGCTCCCCCCGATCGGAAGGGGTGAGAGAATATCGGGAGGGGAGTGAAACCGTACGAAAATTGTGATTGCGCAGGCTGCCAACCCTCTCCCGTACCCCCTTTTATGTAGCGCTGGCGACAGGGGACCTAAACCATCAGTTGGTTTGGGTGCCCCCGATCAGGGCGCCTTAGTTGGGATAAAAAGCCCACGTACGTTGGTGCGTGGGGCCTTTTCTTTAACGTTATCTTTCCCCTTTTTTCTGTTAGACTAATAGATCTAACTAGCCTGTTAAGCCGTCAGATCAAAACCAACACCTTCTACTACTTTGTACTCCCTTATAGTCCAACAAAGAGAGTGGAATAAGACGAAATATATTCTGGTCCACTGGACTGGGGCACAAGTACAAGTGGGGCACGGGAATGGACTAAGCAGCAAGATAAGCATTCTGCACAAAATCAAAAACCATGTGGTGTGGGCATTTCTCAGCCAGATAATAATCATGTTGGCATTCCACTTCTATTATAACCCCCTTTCTACTCCTTTGCACTTTTATGTTCTCACTACCTTATATTTATGTACACAGGCCAGTGTGGAATACCGTCATGCCATTTAAATTAAGAAATACTCCCTTCCTTCACAAATATAAGATGTTCTAATTTTTTTTCCTGAATTGGATGTATACAAACCCGTTTTAGTGTGTTTGTTCACCAATTTCAGTTCGTATGTAGTCCATATTAAAGTATCCAAACATCTTATATTTGTGAATGAAGGGACTACTATATATATAGCACTGCGGAATTTGGTTCATGCTCTTTTTTTAGCTCATTCAGAGATATGCTTTCCGAACTACCAATACTAAAGTCGCTAAAATCTTGTTGCCGATACACTATCCGTTTTGCAGTTTCACTGTGAACGGCGGCATCACATAGAAACTAATCACACTTGCAGCAAGCCACTTGGGAGCCTCGGAAAACTTACATGTCAAAGAAAGACTTATGCATACATACATACTATGAGAAGCTGTCAACAGCAATCTGATGCAAAAATCAAACCGAATCCATGGCATATTAGCAGGCCAAACGCGTTCGCTGAGATGGATAACATACTTCTTCAGGATGTCGAACCAGGCACGATACATCTGCCTAACACAAGTTTACCCTTCCTGTAAAAAACGCCGCAGTATTGACAGCCAGGGAACAGAGAAGTGATATAGAGACACGACGAACTGGCCACAATAAGCGTCGAATCAGCGCCTTACACGCTCATCACCAGACACAAAACTACTAAGATAATACTACTAATTTTGTCATGAAAGGATCATGATATGATAGACACAGGCAGCTGCCAAGACAAGCGGAAGAAGAAAGCGGAAAACACAGGCTACATATGACCGAGGAGGTTCTACCGACAAGAACCAACCAAATTAACCCAGCAAGTTAGTCAGATCGATCAGGCAAGCAGCAAGCGACAGTGCCTAGCTAAGGGGTAGTTGTTCAGTTCACTTCAGTTCAAGCCATCCAGAGGAGAATGCCGGGACGGCCAGCTTCACTTCTTATGGACCCTGCAGTCCGGAGAGTTTGGCTGCAAGGGCAACAGGGGCTGCCTCGACGCGTCCGCACTGTTGAAATCGATGGCCAGGCCGACCGGGCTCGTGTCCTTGAGGCTCGACGACTTGCGTTTCTGCTGCAACACAAAGGACGGCATTGTTAATATTGTCACCAAGGTAACCAGGCTGACACTGACAGTAGGGTAGGTAATTCATGGTTTCGACTAACAGCTCTACTGCCTGTGTGTGTGCGTGTACTAAATTAAATTAAATCAGTAGTACACACTTGTGTGAGCTTTATGGTTGGTTGGTTGGTGCTTTTTACCTTGGTGGAATTACTGGCCGAGTGCTTTCTTTCGGACCGATGCTTCTGCTCCTTCTCCAGCAAGCACAGCAGCCTCTTGTTGGCTTCGTCGAGGGCTCTGTTCTCCTCGAATAGCAACTTAACCTTGAATTGAAACACGCAAGAAACTTCCAACCGTCAGAACCACACTAGCTTCACACAAATGAAATATATTGACATTCGCTGAGAAGGCGATAAAAGTCGCAGGTGCAGAACATGTTTGCAGTTGCAAGGGCAAGAGAGGTTCAGCATATATGGTACCTCCTCCTCTGCTTTGTTTAGGTTGGTCTTGAGTATCTCCTTGTCCCTCTGCAGCGCTTGCACTTGTTCAGTAAGCTGCGCGTGAGTAAGTAAGATGAATGTTGGAGGATCAGTCAGGTTGGTTAAACAGCACTGCACTAGTAATTACTACGAAGCAGCCACCGCAGTAGCATATAGGAGTATCATGCAAGCAAGCAGAGTGTTGAATGATGGTGACAGAGCTCTAGAGTTGATCCAACACCAAATCACCTCACCTGATTGATGGTGATGGAGCTCTACTATAGTTGCCAGACCAAAAACAAACCATGTAACAGGACAAGTCAAACTGGATTATGCATGAACTGAACAAAAGCTGTGGATGATATACTAATTCGTCAACTAACCAATTTTCCCAATGGCAGAACACACAAGTTCAGACAAGAAATCATATCCAGAATGTAGTAATCAGTGGATAACAGGAGTCATCAACCATGAAATGAATCAACTGATAATATGAGCGAGGAAAGTGTTACTGACGTCGGGGGCGTCCCTGAGGCGGTTGCGCAGGTCGTCGCTCTCCCTGGCGAGCTCGTCGCAGGACTCCATGGCGCGCTCCAGGTCGCGCTCGTAGAGGCCGCACTCCTTCTCGAGCCTGGCGGCGTGGGCGGCGAGCTGGTCGCGCGCGGCCGCCACGGCCTCCTTCTCCTCCACGCACCGCCGGATCCCCTCCGCGTTCATCGCCGACTCGTTCTGCACGCACCGCACGGGGCCGTCTCGATCCGTCAGGCAGGCATTCCGTCGAACAGCCAGCGAGCGAGCAGCCAGGTAACCGCCGATGCGGAACGGAACGGAACGGACGGGGAAAGGGGGAAGAGGCGGACGGACCTTGAGGAGGTCGATGCGGCGGGCGGCGGCGTGGAGTTCCTCCTCGAGCGCGAAGACGCGGTCCTGGAGGCGGCGGCGCAGGTCCTCGGAGGCGGCGAGCTTGGCTCGGAGCGAGCGGTCGGGCACGGGGAGGCCGAGGGAGGCCTCGATGGAGTCGCGCACGTACTCCTCCGCGCCGCCGGGGAGGGCCGGCCCGGCGGGGGGAGGCGGGGGGCGGGGAGGAGGGGGCGCGTCCTTGCCGTCGGCCGGCGCCATGGATCGATCGATCAGTCGGTCGCCGGTGCGTTCGCCGCCGGCGAGGGGAGGAGGTGGGGGTGGGATTTGGATTTTGAATTTCTGCGGAAGGAACGGGAAGGAGAGAGAGGAAACCGTCCTGCTAAGTAACCGTTGGCGGGCCATCGGGCCGTTCGCTTGCGTGGGCCCCCTTCTCTCACCGCCCCACTGGCCCGTCGCGGCCCGTTCTCGGCCCTTTCTCTGCTTCCTTAGTCCTTACTGCCAGCTTCGATTCAAATTTTTTTTCTGAGGTTTTTTTTATCGTTGACACCCGATGTCGATCCTCGTGTTTTAGAGAATGAATTTCTTTGTTAATAACTCGGCTTTCATAAATCTTGTCCTAATCTGTGAGGTTAGAACTACAAGAAAGGAACCATATAGGAGTGAAAAACGTGTACCCATTTCATATGGATATTTTCTTAATTCTTTTCAAAAGTCGGCTCAACGAAGGTCCTAATTGTAGGACGGTTGTGCTTGTGGAATGCTTCTAGTACAACACCGTGATGTACGGAAATCATATGAAATTCAAAATCTTTCCAAGTTGTGTGTGTATATGCATACCTCTACCTCTGGATGGAAACTCCCAGGGGCAGTCCTGGCGTGTCAGGGGGCCTAGCGCAAAATATCGATGAGGCCCTCTTATATGCAAGCACGAATAAAAAAGCACCTTTTTTCCATGTCAACTAAAGATCAACACTAGACACAAAAGGTAAATTGTTGATTGTTATAACTTGCACTAAGCATAAAACCTATGAAGACTTTTATCTCAATTCGAATTTTGCTTCAGCAATGTCCATCTTCACTCAATATATTGGAACTCCTCGTCTAATTAATTAATCTGTTTCCACGAGTTTGTAGACATTTTTTAAGACATGTGCACGAGTGCATAGAATACAAGACTCTTCTGCATGTGAAGGTAGAAACCCAAAAGGCTAGGCTAGGTAAAAGGTAACCTAGCTAGCTTAGTTATCTATGCCACCACGCCAAAGCAAACCTCAGAGCCAACAAATCGTTCTTCCTAATTTTACACCCAGATAAGATTTAACCGACATGCAATTTGGTTCTGCATTAACAAGAGGACATGAATTAAATTGAATGTTTTTGTGCCAAGGATTAATCGAATCTTGCATGGCATAATTATAACATGTAAACGAATTGATTAACGAGGGGAATAAAATGCCTTGCTTAAAGTGTCGCCCATCCTTCTTCTTTCCTTTGCTTCCTCTCCTTCCTCTCTTGCCTTTCATCTTCCTCATCTCCTCTGAAAGAGACAGACAGAGACAGAGACAGATACAGAGGAGAGCATAATTAGTTAACTTGCTTCCATCTTCCTCCCCTTGCCTATAAACTTGCCTTGCCATCACATAACACCACCACCAAGCCAAACCACCTCCACCTCAGCTCAGCCATGGCCTCCTCCTCCTCCTCCTCCTCCTACATGCCCCTCAGGAGGTCCGACAGCGTCGCCGACATGATGCCCGAGGCGCTGCGCCAGAGCCGCTACCAGATGAAGAGGTGCTTCCAGAGGTACCACACAAACACAAACACTCCTTTCTTTCTTCATTTCTTTCTCTCTCTGAAATGTATGCAGACAAACGCCCATGCATGATGGATGGGTCCTTCCTTGCTCTGCAGGTACGTCTCCAAGGGCAGGAGGCTGATGAAGAACCAGCAGCTGATGGAGGAGCTGGAGGCGTCGGCGGGCGACGACAAGCCCGAGAAGGCCAGGCTCGCCGAGGGCTTCCTCGGCTACGTCATCTGCTCCACGCAGGAGGCCGTCGTGCTCCCTCCCCTCGTCGCCTTCGCCGTCCGGACCAACCCCGGCGTCTGGGAGTTCATCAGGGTGCACTCCGGGGACCTCTCCGTCGAGGAGATCACGCCATCCGCTTACCTCAAGTGCAAGGAGACCCTCTACGACGAAAAATGGTACTGCACCATTAATTCATCTATACATACTACAAGAAAGAAAGAAACCTGATGAGCAAAATGTTAGTAGAACCCAGGCTTGATTACCTGCTGCTGTTGTTTTCTTCAGGGCGCGCGATGATAACTCGCTGGAGGTCGATTTCGGCGCGCTGGACCTCTCCACGCCTCACCTGACGCTGCCGTCGTCCATCGGGAATGGGATGCAGTTCGTCTCCCGGTTCATGTCCTCGAAGCTAAGCGGCAAGCCGGAGAGCATGAAGCCGCTGCTGGACTACCTGCTCGCGCTGAACTACCGTGGCGAAGTAAGCATGCATATTGATTGGTCATTCCATTCAGTAAGCTTGTTGGTACGCAGGGAGCTAACTGGAATGAGCTCGGTCTTTCCTTTCTGTCATCCAGAAACTGATGATCAGCGACACCCTAGACACCGCCGACAAGCTTCAAACAGCATTGCTTCTCGCAGAGGTCTTTATCTCCAGCCTAGAGAAGAGCACACCGTACCAGCAGTTTGAACAAAGGTAAATGGCAGATCATTCATTCTGTAACCAGACATGTACAAACATATTCGTACCTGACCGACCGATGATATGGTTGCCGGCCGGCCGTTGCAGGTTTCAGGAGTGGGGTTTGGAGAAGGGGTGGGGTGACACTGCCGAAACATGCAGAGAAACACTCAACTTCCTCTCCGAAGTGCTCCAGGCGCCGGATCCCATCAACATGGAGAAGTTCTTCAGCAGGGTGCCGTCGGTGTTCAACATCGTCATCTTCTCCATCCATGGTTACTTTGGTCAAGAGAAGGTCCTTGGGTTGCCAGACACCGGTGGTCAGGTACAGTGATCCTTATATCACACTGGTAGATAACCCTGAATCCACAATTATACATGCTTGAAACAGAAGCCAACAGATCAATCCTTTCTTGGCAGGTAGTTTACATCCTGGACCAAGTTAGAGCTCTTGAACAGGAATTGTTGCAAAGAATCAGGAAGCAGGGCCTGAACGTTACCCCGAGGATTCTTGTGGTAAGCTTCGATCGCCTTCATTAAACCACCATGGCCTAACAGTCCAGGGAGGGGGCATCTGACAGCTCCTCGCTCGTGTTGCAGTTAACAAGACTCATACCGGACGCAAAGGGCACCAAGTGCAACGTTGAGCTTGAACCGGTCGAGCACACGAAACACTCGAGCATCCTCCGCGTGCCATTCAAAACTGACGATGGGAAAGATCTTCGTCAGTGGGTCTCCCGGTTTGACATTTATCCTTACCTGGAGAGATATGCTCAGGTATGTAAGCTAGGAATTTCCTAGGTACTGACATCACCTTGTGAATGAACTGAATGTGACACTGATAACAAACCTTTATCGTGGTGGTTTCAGGATTCTTCTGTCAAGATTCTTGACATTCTGGAGGGGAAGCCAGACATGGTCATCGGCAATTACACCGATGGCAATCTAGTAGCATCCCTCTTGTCGAGCAAGCTAGGAGTTACCCAGGTGAAATGAGCCATCAAAATGGAATTCTGAAAAGAATGTTCTTCTGTCACCAGCCAAATCTGACATGACATTACCAAAAAATTCATCAACTGACAGGGAACGATCGCACATGCTCTTGAGAAGACAAAGTACGAGGATTCGGATGTCAAGTGGAGAGAAATGGATCACAAGTACCATTTCTCCTGCCAATTTACTGCCGACATGATTGCCATGAACACTAGCGACTTCATCATCGCTAGCACCTACCAAGAAATAGCAGGAAGGTCAGTCACTCCGTAAACTAAAAGCATTCTCTCAGCAATGTCGCGCAACTGATCCCAGGATTCCCTGACAAAATGCAGCAAAGACAAACCAGGCCAGTATGAGAGCCACTACGCCTTCACAATGCCAGGGCTGTGTCGCTACGCCACAGGCGTCAACGTCTTTGACCCCAAGTTCAACATCGCCGCCCCAGGCGCTGATCAATCTGTTTACTTCCCCTTCACGCAAAAGCAGGCACGGCTGACAGACCTGCACCCCCAAATCGAGGAGCTACTCTACAGCAAGGAGGACAATGATGAGCACTTGTAAGTATATATATGTACATATTCCTTGGTAATAGGCTTTTTTATTTACCATTTGACAAACATTAATTGCTAATAACTCTGAACTGTGATATGGTTGAATCAGAGGGTACCTACAAGACAGAAGCAGGCCAATCATTTTCTCTATGGCAAGGCTTGACAAGGTGAAGAACATTACCGGGCTGGTCGAGTGGTATGGTGAGAACAAGAAGCTCAGGGACCTTGTCAACCTGGTCATCGTTGGGGGGCTCCTGGAACCTTCACAGTCAAATGACAGAGAAGAGATCGAGGAGATCAACAAGATGCACAGCTTGATGGACAAGTACCAGCTCAAGGGACAGATCCGCTGGATCAAAGCACAGACCGAGCGCGTGCGCAACGGTGAGCTGTACCGTTGCATTGCAGACACCAGGGGCGCCTTCGTTCAGGTAAAAAAAACTCAAATACAGTTAAGCATGAAACTCAAGCACTGACTATGTGACTGAATCGTGTCTTTCAGCCTGCACTCTACGAGGCATTTGGACTGACGGTCATCGAGGCGATGAACTGTGGGCTGCCAACCTTTGCAACAAATCAAGGAGGACCCGCAGAAATCATCGTCAATGAGGTTTCGGGTTTCCACATCAACCCACTCAACGGCAAGGAGGCAAGCGACAAGATAGCAGCCTTCTTTCAGAAATGCAAGGAGGACCCCACCTACTGGAACAAGATGTCCACTGCTGGACTCCAGCGCATCTATGAGTGGTACCAAGGATCTTCTAAAACCTAAATTTATACAGTCATTATCCTAAAATCGAGTGCACTTACTAACACGTTGTGCTTTCTCTTTGCAAACTAATTTAACAATGCCTTGTCTATGATTGTAGTTACACGTGGCAGATTTACGCAACTAAAGTTCTGAACATGGGGTCGATGTACGGCTTCTGGAGGACTCTGAACAAGGAAGAGAGGCAGGCCAAACAGCTCTACCTACAGATGTTCTACAACCTTCAGTTCAGGCAGC